CACCCCCCCCGGGAAGCACTCTCTGCTTTGAGATAGATATTCTATATCGCTTTAAGAAAGGAGATGCACAAGTACAAGAACACAAGGACAAGAACACAAGGCTACATTGAGAGAGTGCTCCTCACCCAAGGCTCCCATTTGCAAACATATCTGGGCGGGATTAAATATATGACAGGTTACCTGATATTGTAATTATCGTTGATCAATACGAAGAATATACGGCCCTTCAACGGAATATAAAGATATGTAACTTTGTAACAGTAATCGAGAATAAAAATCATTATATTGATTAGAAACCAAGATCAAGAAATAACTGTCAGCGAAGAAAGATGCTCATATCCCTCTCTTCTTATTGGTTCTCCTTAATTAGATTGCCAAATTGCATGGAAATGTAATCTACTTTATTCTGATTCTATTTTAGATAACAAACTTTTAAAACTTCATATTTTGGCATTTAAAAATGTGATATCTTAAACATTTAAGTATTTAGATGGCCGATTTAAACATTAACAGGTTACTTTATTAACATGATAAATGAGGTGACATATAACTCATTATTATTTGGTGTCATGGCCCAATAACATGAATATTTTAATGTAATAATTTTATAAATATATATTTACTTTTCATTTTTTAAAAAAATAGTATTTTTATCATCATCACCCCAACAGTACTTTTAGGGGGTGTTTGGTTCACATAATGGAACTTGATGGAATTGGAATCCATCAAAGGAATTTGACTTCGAATGAGTTGGAATGGAATTTGACCACGCGTTTGATTGGTAGGAATTAAAATGAAATCTCTCAATAGAATTAGAATAATCGTCTTTGTTTGGATTATCTCACCCATCGCCCCGCCCACACCCTACCAACCACCATGTCACTATTGTTGTCGTCACAGCTATCACCCCGCCCCAACCCTCCCTAAACCCTGCCCCACCACCCCAACCTCGCCCCACCCCTACTCCATAGGTGGGGCTTGTTGGGGGTAGGCAGTGTGGGGTAGGGAGTGTTGGTGATTTTAGTGTCATCTAGCCATTTGGTGTAGTCAAGATTAATGTGAGACAAAATGAGTTTAGTATCGGCTACAATTCAAGTTCGGAGGTGTGGAGCGCACACTCGGATAAGCTAATATGAACTCGGGAATACGGGGTCAAGGGAATGTTGAACCATTGCATCATTTATTTCCAAGTGAAATGAATGTCACATCTTTTCCCAACGTCTACAACTTTTCCCTCCTTAATTAACTAACACCTTTTTAGTTAATTAACCGAATTAACTACCACTTTTGGTTAGTTAACCGAATTAACTACCACCTTTTGGTTAGTTAACCGAATTAACTAAAACCTTCCTGGAAATGTGTCTTTTGATATTCTATATATACCATGTTCCATATTTGCTAAAGACATACGAAAAACATACATTGGTTTTTTTCTGTCGAATTTGTCTTTACAAACATAATCTATAACAAGATATTATGTGTTTTACTAATCTTGGATTTGCCTGAAATCCGGATTGAATTATTGAATTATCCTAAATCTAAATTTATGTAACCCCAGGTTACAGGGTTGAATTACATATTCTGGAAAATGTTCCATATATGATCCAATTAATCTGAATCCCTAGAAATCTAATAGGGAAGTGGGGGTGGAGTTAGAGTGGGGCAATGGGTGGCAGGGTGGTAGCTGTGACGAGTACAATGGTAGGATGGTGGCTAGTGGTTGGAGTAGGGTAAGGTGGAGCGGGCGAGGGCAGGGCGAGACGGTGGGGTGGGTAGGGTAGTTGTGATGATGATAGTAGTGGGATAGTGGTCGGGTGGCTGGGGCCTGGGAGTGGGTGGGTATGACGACAACAATAGTGGCATGGTGTTCAGTGGTGGGTTGGGGTAGGGTGGGGTGCGGGTGAGTGGTGGTGTGAGGGCGGGGGTTAGGTTAGGGGCGGTTTGGCCGGTGGTGCGGGGCGGTGGGGATGGGTGGCAACTGTGACGACAACAATGGTAGGATGTTGGTCACATCTTCTTCATGATTTACCCCTGCTTCTATCTGTGAATTTATGTCTTGAATTTGTTTCTGCATCTAGATTCAGGTAAAAAGAACATCAAGTGTTTACTTTATCTTTAAATGCAAATGCAAATACCAAAATCGAAAAACTAATATTGTGTATACATAAAAAAAAAACAATGTTAGCGGTCTCATTTGCTACGTCATCATAGTAACTTATTAATGTTTAAACCGGTCACCTAGTTATTCAATAATGAGTCCTTACCGGTCTCGGGTCGGGCCGGGCCGGGCCGGTTTGGCCATCACTAAAATTAACATTACCTAAAACAAGATCTAAAACAAACTTAACTGCATTTTGACATATATTTCTTTCGGAATCAAAATGAATAATTTAAAGTAATTATTACAAAATGATACACAAGAAACCATGTAACAAAATGTAATGAATCAACCAAACAACGCTTGCATATATAACTCATCACTACATTCCTCCGCCGAATAGTTCTTGGTGACATAATCCACCCCTTCTCGTGCCATCACGGCCTTAACATTCCGATACCATGGCCGAACGTGAGCCGAATTCACCGAACCATCGAGCACGATGACCGAACCCCAGTCCTGAGCTCCGTGTTTGGCTTCTTTCAACCTCCTCCGAATCAACAAACTTCCCACATCTTCCCGTCTCATTTCGGTGACGCTCCTGAGGATCGATGTGCTAAGAAGCAGCACGAATGCTGCATCTTCTTCCGGCAAGAATTCCACCGCCGATAGCTTCCAGTTCAAAAGTCCCGTAGCTCTGCCACTCGGGTTTTCCTCTGTGAAGCGTATGAGTGTCACGAACCCTTGTTCATCATCGTTTTCTTCATGTTGGTACTGCATTTTTCGCCCTCCGACCAACCTAACCTGCCACAGCCGTTTCCTTGATCGATAAGTGAATTCAAGCAACGATTTTTTGGGATCGAATTTGTTAGAATGTGTGGAACTTCATTAGATGAATTTCCAAAAGAGTCCTTGAGAATCCAACTTTCAACATATATCTTGGAGAAATGATTCAAGGGTAGCTGATAATTGGCTTTCTTACCTGTGATTCAGTGGAGGTACTGGTTTTGAGATCGAAACTCATTCCTGTTGTTGTTGATGATCCCGACCGTATAAAGAGTTCATGTCCGGTTGAAAAGCTCCACGAAGCATGCCACCCTTGGGACGGTGTCTTTGGTGTTGCGGTTGCTATCACTTTCTCTGTACTAGATCACATATTACAATTGAATTGATACCGTTAACGATTAGATCGAATGAAAAAGCAAGAAAACAGAAATTGTAACAAATATGGATTCGAGTTTCTAGCAACATACCCGGGGCTTTCCCGATGGAACCAGCAATGTAAGACCAGGATCCTTCGCGTACCTCTACACATCGATCCTCCCATTTTACGGCCGTAGGTTTGTTAGCGCCTCTTCTCCAAAACCCTCCTCCCACTCTGCCATTAGAGTCGGAAAGAACTGAGTTATGGAACCCCATTACGTTACTGTTCAAAAGAGTTTTAACAAGTGTACCTCATCCGAATAACGAAACACTCTCTTCCGGCATGATCAAGAACTGTACGAGACAACCACCGGCCTTCCTGAGGCCGATACTGGTTCATTTTCAGAACCACCTCCGACACCATGGCTCCCGAATCATCTGTCACCCGGTCCGGCACACATTTCAACAAGTACGGTGCTTGTGCAGGCGGTGTGATCGACGCTAGTATCCTCGCTCTTCCGCCAATGACTCCGTCCAAAGTGATCGATGGTGCTCGAAGCAACTCATTCCACATAAAAGTTTTGTATTCGATCCGTTTACTTCCTTTGATACAAACTCCTCCTTTTCGTCGTAATTCAACCACGATTCCTTTCGTTCCAAATTCGCAATAAAGATGCACTGTTTTTTGCCAAGAATTCGAAGGAATACTCGATACGGGGCTGTTTATTTTAAAGTCTCGATGGCATCTAAGCAACTGGAAACGCAGAAACTCTTTCGATTTGTTCGTTTGCAGGGTTTTCATCATCGGGGTTGGTTTCACCAATATGTTAACCTGTTCTCAAACCAAAAGTTAGCATCCACTACAATGAAGTCGGGTTTATAGGATACCAAAAATGTTTAGGTGTCCTAATAGACTGTTTCATAAGATTTAAGTTTATAGTACCAAACAATTATGCATCATATATAGAAATGTTTCAATAACTTTATCAGACGTTTGTAGGCGTCTTAACGTGTTTTTAGTGCGTTCTTCGAATAAAATGGCCTAATACGGCACTTTCAAAAGTGTCGTGTAGAAAGCTCATACGGCACTTCTTTTTAAGTGTCCCAAACAACTTGTTGAAATTTCCGAAAGCGGCCTATAAACTTACTGCAATGCTTTTACGCAACATACAATTGTTTTGTAATTGGTCCTACAAAACAGTCTATTAAGACACTCCAAAGATATTTTTGACGGTTTTATTGTAGTGATAAAACAAACGATACAAGATCAAGATTCCGGCTAACTGACCTCAAGCAAGAATCTTGGCAGCAACGTCCGGTACTTTATATTGGCATCAATCTCTGTGATCTCCCAGTGAATCGGTGGCGGCTTTAGACCATCATCGCCTCCGCCAATTGCTGGGCAGCCCGATTTTTCGTATGGCTGATCAAAGGCTCTCTCCCAAAGCTGCTCCATGGCCTCCAAAGCTTTCTCATTTACGGATTCTTCTGATTCAATTACCTTCTCCATGCTCCCCTCCATTTCATTCACATCCATCCTATACGTTGTCGGGTAGCTCTGGTTCATTAAACCAAGAAAACCACTATAACTGGATCGATTTTACAGTTTACGCTGAAATGCAGTACAACAATGTCTAAATGTCTTAATAAACTGTTTTATAGTACCTAAACAATTATGTAAACATATTATAATAAAACTGATAGAACGCTTCTGGGCATCCTAACAAGTTTTGTAGGGTCACTGGAAATAAAACTTCCTATTAGTTTTCTAAAATGACACTTTAAATTGTCCAACGAACACGTCGTTTTATAAGCCACCTTTCCAAATAATGCCATATAAAAAGACTGATAAGACGCTTCATTCAAATATGTCCTAAAAACTTGTTGGTATGTTGAAGAAACGTTCTATCAACTTATTGTACCACCTTTACTGAAGATGCACAACTGTTCGGTCTTGTAAATGTAAGTCCTATAAAGCAATTCATTAAGCATATTTGGCGTTCTATAAAGCCGATTTTGTTGTAGTATTGGGATAAGTTTTCCAATACCTTATGAGTAATCCACATTAGGAGAATATCCGAAGTGGGTACGAAAGCTGAGCAGCTATCGGCATGTCTTTGCAAGATAAACAGGAAGTCTTTATATCGCTTTTTGGCAGCGATTAAATACACAAGTTCTAGCATATAAGGCTTGGAAAACTTGGTCAAGAGATGTCTTTGCTTTGATACTTCTCCCAAAAGATGATCAGTCTGAAGAATCTTGGCGTTGCGAAGATCACCCGAATCAGACTCATTTTCGAACGGTTCCGATGGATATTTAGCAACCCAAATCTCTCTACACCTTTCCAGAGCATAATCTCTGTTTTCTTGGTTAAAAATTGCGGATTTTCCGATGAGTTTCAAGAATCTTGACTCACAGTATTGCCTATAAACCACCTGAAACAGAGGTTTTGATTTGAATAAAAGCTTCACAATCATAAAAGCCTACAAGAATCTTTGGTGCGTTTGGTACACAGACAGACAGTATAAAAACTAAAAACTTATGGGACAAGGTAGGGCTTGAGTTCCAAAGAATACATTTTCTTCTGCTTAGATATATGTGGTAAAATTACTAAATTACCCATGTCACAATTATTTCACCCGTCTATCAAACTCACCGTCTAGTCTTGGCCAGGTTCACTAACCAAACGGACCCTAAAAGTTCCGAAAAGAAAAGAAGAGCTACGGTTTCTAGGGATAAGATCCATTTTAGGTAGCCGTGGTTTCCGGATCCACTCATGCACACCAACTAATCCCTAGACGACCATGAATGGTCTAATGAATCTCCATGACCAAAACAGCTTTGATTCGGACCATAGAAAATGAGTTTCCACTCCAGCCCCTTAACCAGTGAATGGCAACCCAAGTGGTTTTAACCTTCTAGTTTGACTTCTGAGTCAAACCACATGTTTTCAACTTTCTAACGAAGGGAAACCATTTTGTTAAGTACCAAAAACAAAGAAGATGATGTTACAAGTCAGACATACCGGATTTAGAGTGTGGCAGAACCAAACCCACTCAATATCAAGAGGAGGAAGAATCATCGGCGGTTTGCCGGATTCCGCCGTAAGATCAGAAATCATCGGCATCCATAGTTCATCATACCTACAGTTTTAACCAAATTACAGACAAAAATAAAAATAAACCCCCCACAGATGTATGTATTTGATGAACGACCTACCTACGAACTGCTTCATTAAGAACGGGTGTATGGTGGAGCGAATGCGATTCTGCAACATCTCTCAAGAACCCAATGTTTTGACCGGCGGCCGCCACCAGATCTAAGCTCAGCCGCATCACCTCCTCCTCCGACGCCTCACTTAGGGTTCTCGTCGCCGGCGATGAAACAGACATATCGGCCAAGATTTTGTTAGACAATGGTCGTGTTCATAAGAATCAAACAAAGAGTAATCGAGTATAGTATTGAAAAAGCTGGGATGTTTGGTAAGTGGGCATGTGGGGTGTTTGTTTGATTGATGGTGAGTGGTTGATTGAAGGAGAAGAAGATGGGAGACACGTGGCATAGGTTTGATCGAGAAGCTACAATAATTCTTACATAACTTTACATACCCATTTGCGATTGCAAGGTTTCACTACAAGTCCACGACAATGGTGATGCCGATGGATAACGAAAGGCATCAAAACGACACTTCCCCGCAGCCTTCAAACTTTTACTCATGTTTTTCTTTAAAAAAGTCCTTTTCTTTTCTTTTGGTTTAAGGTATTCCATGACAAAAATAAGCTACATGTTTGGATATACATAAGCTAGTTTATTGAAACGTTATTTAAAATAACGTTTTGGCAGCTTATTATTACTTTTTTCAATTATAACCATCATTAATATTCAAATGTGGTGACTCCAGACTACCTGCAAAACAAATGATCGTCCTAAAATTAATCGGCTCACTGTAAATTTCCCCAAAAAAACAAGAGTATCTCCCCTTCAAAGAAAAGATATCATCTCCTCAATTAAACACAATCTCTTTTGTTTTTATTTTCCAACCAATATATTTTCCTTTTCTTCCTATTTTACTGTTGTAACAACTTGTTTTCGTCCAGATGCACACTGAATCCGCATAAACTCAAAATTTTAAAGTTGTAGAGTCATTTGTTGTCTTTCTAGATCATTTTGTATCACCTTAAATGGGGCTCGGACGAGTCAGATGTGCTTGAAACGTCATAGTGTCGCAAATATGTCGAAATTCACTGTTTTGTTCTTTTTCGCTCTAAATTGTTCTGAACCTATCAAAATATAAAAACACATGAATGTCGTTTGGTTTTACCATTGTAACGCATTAAAGAGGGGTGATTGACGAGAACGTAATATTAAAATTAATGTCCGATCAATACTTATTATTAAAGTTTTATCTTATCAATTAGTTTTATCGATTTCTAATATGAAATGTTAAGAAGTTCTACGTATGGGATAATACGTTGTACACTAAAAAAACTAAGAGAATGCATTAATAAGTAATCTATGATGTTTAATAAATTTTTAAGAGTTTCTACTAAATGTTTATACTGCAAATAAAGATAATTAAATATTAAATTTATCATCCACTGCAATAAAATTTCTAACTCGATTTCCTAAGTGTGACATCAGCTTTAGAAATTATGGGGCTGTTTGGCAATTTCGGAATTATTTTGTGCGGAATGATTAAGAGACTTTGGTGGCGTTTGTTTTTTAAGAGGTGCTTAAGTCTGAAGTCTGAATTCACTTYTGAATTTTAAGAGGTGGTGCTGAAGTCTGAAATCTGAATCAGTTAGACTGTTTGTTTTTACGTCTGAAATCTGAATCATTGAAATCTAGGCTTTCTTTGCAAGCATTGRAAGCTCTAAAAGCAATTAAGAGGTTTTAAGTGAAAATGTTACCTCTAAATAATTCAGACATAATCAGAGCTTTTAAGCTCTTAATTGAAAAAAAAAAACAAACACACTTAATACCCTAAGGTCTRACYGRTTCAGACATAAGAGGGTATTAAGTGCTTTTTAGGTAAAAACAAACAAGGCCTTTGTATGGTTTAATGGCGGTTAGAAAATGAGTGTTTGGAAACTGTTCTGAATCCACAGTTTGAATGACGTAAAATTACCATTTTACCCTCAATCTTGTGTTGAATGAAAATTAATGTATCACAAAAGTTCTGAATGAAAAATAGAAAATAATTAATGATCCAAGACAATACATGTTATCATATCAGCCAAATACCACACAAGTTTTGCTTGTTAACTGCATTTTCAAGTAGATATGCACATTTGAAATTGCTTATGTATAACATAACTTACACATGAGTGTTAGTTGAAGATTTTGACTCCTTTCAATGGATATTTGATCATTCTCCGATTTATTAATATGGGCATTGTGGTTCATCTCAAATTCTCAATTAGCTATTATAACAACCCACAGAAGTTCATAAATGAAGTCACAAAAGGTTTCAACTTCTTAATGAAAAGAGGAAATAAAGTTTCGCTAAGACATTCACTCAAATGAGGTTCTTAAAGTTATAACAGATCCACTAAGAGAATGATTACAATTCTTAAGCAATCAAGACACATACTTCTGAAGGAGAATCTTGAATATTCGTAACCAAGCAAGCTAACAGCTCACACTTGCATCTTACCTTACCCTTGCCGGAACCTCCTATCCAAGAAAATCCTGAAATGCATTTATATTTGAAAACGAGAATTGGACCGTAAGGCGTAGTGAATGCTTTAGTTTCAATAAAAACATTCAGACAATAACAAAAGATTCCAAATTACAAGCAAGCCACTTAAATGTAATCTTGCAAGAATACATTCCCTATGGTTAATTAGCCGACAGTCGCATAATCAAAACACCTCGTTGAATGGTCATTCCGTCAATATCGCAATCAACATCACAATGGAACTATGTGAAATAGATTTACGAAACATCCACTAACATTTATGTGAATCACTACAGTTCCCCATACATCACTCATGTCGTGTAAGTTATATATCTCACTTACAAAGAGTAATACACCAATCGATGTTGATATCCATTTAACATCAAAGGCATGTATAAAATGACAATATCAAATACATACATCACATGCGTGTAACACCCATGTTTTTATGGTTAATCGTTTTAGAGTGTAGATTTGTTTAAGCAAACCAGTCAGTGTCAAGCTATTATTGAATGTTTGTGGCTTTTGAATCAAGAGTCATGGTAGATTTTGGATGAAGAAAAGTTATGTTGGAGGTCATCCGGGGCATTAGGACCTCTGATGCAAGTTCAGTCACAAAGTCGAAAATCAGCTTAAAAACACAATAAAGTGTCAAGCAAGTTGTCAAGTGAATTAAATTCACTTCAAAACTAACATCAGGCTCTGGAAGCCTGATGGCTTGGGCTAGTTTCAGCGCTAGTTTAGACTTACGGTGAAACTAGAGCCAGACAGTGAAATTCTTGGGCTCATTTTCACGCTAGTTTAAACTAGCATGGAGGCCTGACTTGCACAAAAAGACCAAAATCGGGGTTTTCTCATTTTAGCCATAACTTCTTCATTTCTACTCTGATTTGAGTGATTCTTGATGCTATGATTTCGTATTTGGAAGAGCTTTAAGATGGTAAGAAGTATGATTAAAGTTTACTTGATGATTTTGGGGTTCATAGAGGTTGAAGGTAAGATCACATCTTTGCATTTTGAATCTAGGATCTGGTTACTTTGCACCAACAACTCTCATTTCTTATATTGGGTTTATTTGTGTAAGTTTTGGAAGTAAAGTAAGTGTTATTTAAAAGGTTTACACCATAGATCTGAATTCTAGCCGATAGATCTCAAATCTCCAACTTTGGAAGCTCAAGATTGGGGTAAAACCTAGATTTAGCCTAAATCTAGCTTTCAAGTTGCTTTGTGAAAATTATGTACATGCCAAAAATGTCTATTTTGATGTATCAAAATGTTTTTCTTGATATTTAACAAATGTGGTTATTATTTGATGAGGTTTACATTATAATATATTGAGTTCATAAATATTGAGAAATGCTCGTATTTGGGGGTTTTGGACATTTTGATAAATAAGACACATTAATGTGTCCTTTCGATTATTTATTGTACAAATAGAGTTTATTTGATATTAATGCATTTTGGTGTATTTGAATTTATAATTTGTTTGGAAAATGCATGGTATCGCGTTATGAGACATTTTGGAAATAATATGATATGTTTTCATTTGAAAATGGTTTGTCTCAACCAATGATGGATTTTTTAGTTAATCACGTTTTGGAGCATGTATTTGCATAAACGTTGGTTAAGCATGTTTCATCCCTTTTGATGACTTCTATTTTTAGTCAAGGAAATTTTTGAGCATTTGACTCGGTTTTGACTTAAATGAGTTTTGGGGACAAGTGTCCGGTTTAATTTGCTCTATGCCGAGCTTTTGGAGTTATATGCAGTTATCGCATGATTATTTGATATATTACATGTTTTGGGTGCATTAGTTATTCAACTAGTGTCGTGTAATTTTAGACTATAATGCGATGGATCTATAGGGATAGAAATCGATTTTATGGAGTACGTGAGGGATGAGATTCTCAAATTGTAACTTGGAAATAGGCATTGTGATTATTATGTATCAAAGTGAATGAGTTTAACTTAAGATTCCTTTTGTTTTATTGGAAATAAGCATTGTGATTATTATGTAATTTCCAATTCATCTCTTACTGTAGCATGGAAATAAATATTGTGATTATTATATAATTTCCAAGTGAACGAGCTTATTACCTCATTGGATTATATACTAGATTTGGTTGATGTCAATGTGTATCTATCTGACTATAGATTGGATTTGGTTGATGTCATCATTTTGCACTTATCTATATGCCTATTACCTTATTTGACTATAGACTGTATTTGGTTGATGTCATGGTACCTTATCAATGAGTAATGCTTCTATAACATTGGTTTGTGGCTTACTTATATGTTCTGTCATAACAAATAGTAAATCAGGTCTCTCCCATCATCTTCGAGTGTTTTTATGCCCTTTCAAGGGTAAACGTGAGTTGATTGTTTATGAGACCTGATTAAAGCTTTGTTTCCCATTTTAATGTTTTACAACTTTATTCTTGGTCGTGTGTATTGGGTTTTGCTTGCATATAACTAGGTATTCTGATTAACTATTTTTCAACAAGAAAATTGTGGGTTTTCGGAAAGATGTTGCTTTTATGATAAATATATTTCATTAGCAAAATTTTGATTTAAATCAACAGTCTTTCAGTTTTACTGTTTTATGATTATGATGAAAACTATTTGAACACACTACTCTTCAAGTCTAACCTTTTTATTTGTCGGCATGTGCATCACTTCCTTGTTGGATTATGGTACTAGTGACACCGTGAT